TTTTTTTTTTTTTATTGTGATGAAGTTCAATGTATCAACTTTTTTATATAGTTGTGCTTTTTGTGTCCTGTTTAAAAAGTCCTAGGGCACCTGGATGGCTCAGTCAGTTAAACATCTGACTCTTGAATTAAGCTCAGGTCATGAGCTCAGGGTAGTGAGATCGAGCCCTATGTCAGGCTCCATGCTTAAGATTCTCTCTTTCCCTCTCCCTCTGCCTCTCTCCTGCTTGCACTTGAGTTCTCCCTGAAAAAAAATATTGACCTGACCAAGGGCCTTAATATTTTCAGCTATTTTTTCCCTAGAAGTTTAATAGAATGAGCTCTTAAATTTAGGTATATGATCCATTTCTAGTTCATTTTTATTCATGGTGTAAAGCAAGGGTTGAAGTTTAGGGTTGTTTGCTTTTTTTGTTTGTTCGCTTTCTTTTTTTTTCCCATCCCATTGTTCTGGTGCTCTTTTTTGGTAGGATCATTCTTTCCCGCACTGAATTGCCTTGACGCTTTTGTCAAAAATCAGTTGCCTGGGTCTTGTAGATAGAACATAGTTGGATTTTATGTTGTTTTGTTTTATCTTCTTAATCTAACCTGAGAGTTTCTGTCTTTTAATGAGGGTTTAGACCATTTACATTTAATGGGGTTATTTATCTGGCTGAGTTTTTAGATCTTTGTCCCGTCTTGTCCTTGTTCTCTGTCTTTATTTTGGTTTGAGTGTATTTTTTTAACTCAATTTTTTCTTCAACGACCTACTAGCCATACCTCTTTGTTTTGCTTTTTTGTGGTTGTTCTCATGTTTACAGTACACATCTTTAACTTACCATACTGCTACGTCCCTCATCCTGGCCTTTGTGCAACTGCTGAACATTTTACTTGTACGTATATTAGAGCCCATAATACATTGTTACTATTTTCACTTTGATCACTTATCTTTTGAAAAAGTTTTTAATGTTTATTTATTTTTGAGAGAGACAGACAGAGTGTGAGCAGGGGAAGGGCAGAGAGAGAGGGAGACACAGAATCGGAAGCAGGCTCCAGGCTCTGAGCCGTCAGCACAGAGCCCAATGAGGGGCTCAAACACACGAACCATGAGATCATGACCTGAGTCGAGGTCATATGCTTAACCGACTGAGCCACCCAGGCGCCCCTATTCACTTATCTTTTAAGAGATTTAAAAAATAAGATTAAAAATTTTGCCTTCCTAGTTACCATTTCTGGTGCTCTGCATTCCTTTATGTTGACACAAATTCCATTTGGCATATATGCCTTTCTATGTTAAGGATTTTCTTAAACGTTTCTTGTAGTGGTGGCCTGGATGCAGAAATCACTACGTAACTTTTGAGTCTTTCCAAATCAAGCCCAACCATATTTCTATCTAGAATTAGTTTCTACGGACCCCATCAAGATCTCCATAATCCTGTCCTGTCCCTAACTGTTTTCATTGGTCTCTCCTCTCCTCAAAACTAAATCTATCCTTCTAAAACCAGCACCAGCCTACCTCTTACAAGAAGTCCTCCTTGAATGCCTCTCTGTGTATTGTCAACTCTGAACTTCGAAGACACTTGTGGTCTGTTTCACAAAGAGGGGCCTCAGTGATATTATTCATTAATGTGTTATTTGCATTTGTTTTGGATTTCTAGATAGGCTATAAACCAAGAACCAGAGAACCAGCAAAGAAACGCATGTGCTAACGCTAAGAAGTTAGACAATTGTGTACTGAATTGGTTAGGGCAAGGGGATGTAGGTAGGTACCAACAGCACCTAGACAATTGGTTTAACTGCACCTCCTTCAGAGGAGTTTCTTAAACTGTCCTCTACATGCAGCCTCCAGTAAAACCTGGCTACTTCTCTAGTGACCCCAGAACACCCAGGTCACTCTCAGTACCAATAGGTGAGTCTTAAGTCACTCAGACATCTTTACGAAATGCTTCGTAATCATGGTGTGCAATATGCATACACTGAGGTATGCATATTGAAGGCAGGTATTCTCGGACATTGAAGGGAGGGCAAAATGGCACAACTCCTATGGGGGGGGGGGCGGGACTCTGGCAATATTTAACACAGCTGTATATGCATCTACTTTTTAATCTAGCAGCCCCATTTCTGGGAATCTTTCCAGAGATACACCATCAGAAATACGAACTAACATAGGCATACAAGGTTATTCGAGGTGGCATCATTAGCAATAAAAGGTTGGAAATAACCCCAGTGGCCACAGCAGAGTGGGTGAATGGACAATGGTAGATACACAGGGTAGACAGAGTACTATGCAACTGTGAAAGGAAAAAAGGGAGAAATGTTTCTAGAACATGCTGTTAAGTGAAAAAGGCAAAATGCAGAATGCCTATCAGGCTTCAGATGTACCGCCTTTTACGTAAGAAAAATGGTCAAACAACATATTTAGATTTTGGCTTAGTTTTGCAAAAAGAAACATAAGCTGTACGTGATAAGCTGATAAAAAGGGAAGAAGAAGAAAAGAAAAAAAAAGGAAGCAAAGATAAACCGAAATATCTTTAAAATGGTTAGTTATCTAGAGGAGATAGGCAGAAACGGTAAAGACAGTGATAGGAGCGTGGTTTCTCCGACCAAATGTTTTGTATCTAGTCTTGGCTTTCAAACCCT